ATATCTACTATGTTTGTAACTTTTCTACTTGTTGAACTTGTTCTTTGTTTCTTTACCTCCCCTCTTCTTCCTTCTCTGGTTTCAACTGAACGTGCCATACAATTCCATTTTATCTCTTCTGTTAGCATTTCAACTATATTTCTTTTTTTTAGTATTAGTACTTTCCCTAGAGTCTGCAATATACATTTATATCTAATCTAAGTTCACCTTCAAATGATACTATTCCTCTTCAATCGTGTACCTTCTGATAGAATATTCTCAGTTCCTCAATCCTGTCCCTTAGGACATTGCTGCCATTCATTTCACTTATCCATATGTAATAAATCACTCCATACATTGTTATTACTTTACACAAACAGTTACCTTTTAGATCAATTAAGAATAGAAAAATCAAAGGTCTAATTTTACCTTCATTAATTCTTTCTCCAACTCCCTTCTTTCCTTTATGTAAATCTGAGTTTCTGAACTGTATCATTTTTCTTCCTCTGGAGAAACTTCTTTCAACATTTCTTCTAGGCCAGGTCTGCTGGTGATGAATTTTCTCCATTTTTGTTTAACTGAGAAAGTCTTTATTTTGTCCTTTACTTTTGAAGTAGAATTCCCCATGACATAAAATTCTAGGTTGGTGAGTTTTTTCTTTCAACACTTGTAATACGTCCCTCCACTCTCTTCTTGTATGCATGGTTTCTGACAAGAAATCCACTATAATTTTTATTCTTGTTTCCCTATAAGTAAGGTGATTTTTACCTCTGGCTTCTTTCAAGATTTTCTCTTTGTCTTTGATATTCTGACATTTGAATATTATATGCCTAATGTAGATATTTTGGTGCCCTCTGAGTTTTCTGCATTTGTGGTTAGCATCTGTCACTAATTTTTAAAAATTCCCAGCCATTGTTATTTCAAATATTTCTTCTTCTTCCTTCTCTCTTCTCCTTCCGGCAACCTAATTATAAATATGCTATGCCTCTTAAAATTACCCCACAATTCTTAGATGTTCTGTTCTGGTTTTCTGGTTTGGTTTTGTTTTTTCATCCTTTTTTCTCTTTGCTTTTCAGTGTGGGAAAGTTTCTATTGTCTTATCTTCAAGCTCCCTAATTCTTGGTTTGGCTGTGTCCAGTCTAGTGATGAGCCCATCAAAGAAAATCTTTATTTCTGTTACTGTGTTTTTTATTTTTCTTTTGATTCTTTCTTAGAGTTTCCATTTCTCTGCTTACATTACTCATCCGTTCATGTATTTTGTTTACTTTTTCCATTACAGTCCTTAACATATTAATTATAGTCATTTTAAATTCCCTATCTTGGCCGGGCACAGTAGCTCACACCTGTAATCCCAGCACTTTGGGAGGCCAACGCAGGCTGAATACCTGGGCTCAGGAGTTCAAGACCAGCCTGGGCAACATGGTGAAACCTGGTCTCTACAAAAAATACAAAAATTAGCCAGATGTGGTGGTGCTGCCTGCAGTCCCAGCTACTTGGGGGGCTGAGAGGGAAGAATCACTTCAGCCTGGGAGGTTGAGGTTACAGTGAGCTGAGATCGTGCCACTGTACTCCAGCTTCGGTGACAGAGCAAGATCCCATCTCAAAAAAAAAAAGAAAAAAGAAAAAATTACCTGTCTAATAATTCCAAAGTCTGAGTCTGGTTCTCATGCTTACTTTGTCTCTTCTTACTTTTTTTTTTCTTGCCTAATATTTTGTTGAAAGTTGTACATGATACATGAAGTAATTAGACATATTAAGGTTTCATGTTAATCTGGCAGATCTCAGTTGTAACTCTGTACTCTTACGACTTTCTAGATTTGGGAGTAGCTGTTTGCTCTGTGACCTCAGTTCTCTGATAAGCCAAGAAAACATGTTGATTTTCCTTTTGTTCAGCTTTACTTCTTATTGTAAAGATCAGAGTGATGGTGTCAAAACTTCACTAGTCAGAGCTGAAACTGCAAGTCTCTCGTATCTTTCTTATTGAAGTACATGATTTAGCAATTCAGCAAGAGTCTGTGAGTGGTAAACTCTCCCTGCCATTATCTGAAAATGTCTTTATTTGCCTTCACTATTAAATGATCATTTATCTGAGTACGAGGTAATTATTACTATCTCTGAACACTCGAAGATATTTTCTGTTGTCTTCTGACTTTTAACAATGCTAAAAAAAGTGCCCTGTCAGTCTAAAAGTTATACTGTCTCTCTGGTTGCTTGCATAATTTTCTCTTTGTCTTTGATGTTCTTCAGTTTCACTGAAGTGTTGCTTAGATGTCTGTTTATTTTTATTTAACTTGCTTGGGATTTAGCATGCTTCTTCAATCTAATGATACATGTCTTGCAACAGTTTTGTTCCATAAAGTCTTAGCTATTATTTCTTCAAATATTGCCTCTTTTCTCTGTTTTTATTTTTCTATACCAACTATTAGGTGTATGTTGGACTTTCACATGATATTTTGGTTTATCTCTTACCTTTTTCTCTCATATTTCCCAACTCTTTAGCTTTCTATGTTGTGTTCCTGAGAATTTCCTCAGCTCTGTCTCTTCCCAAATCACTAATTTTCTATTCAGCTATGTCTTATCTGGTATTTAATCCATCAGTTGAACTTTTAATTAATTCTGACCATCATAATTTTTATTTCTAGAAAATTTATTTGATTCTCTTTCTAGTCTGTTTCTTCTTTTTTCATGGCATTTTATTCTTTTATGATGGTTTCTAGTCTGTTTCATCTCTTTAATCATTTTCTAATCTCTTTCAAATTGTCTGTTATCTTGGGTTCTTGGAATACTCATTTTCCTGATTATGTCTCCTAACTTTCCCTCATTTTCTTGGGTGGTTTGACATTTTTAAATTGTGAGCTTATTTAGTAGTTATTATTTATTCTGTAGACATGTTGTACATACTAAATTGTGGAAGGATCCAGATGAAATTTTTTTATATGCATCTGTGAGGCATCTCAGGGATTTCATTAATATACATCCAGTTTTTATGTTATTTCTATTCTTGAATTTTTCAGAAAGTTTTGTTTTTCTCTGAGTCCCATGTAGAATCACGTTTCCCTACTGTCTCCTTCAGCCTATAGGTAAAACTTATCTCGTGCCCATTTCATGGAAAGTGCAGCCCTTGCCGGTTTCTAGTTTTTTGCAGGAGCTTTGGTTCCTACTCCCACATATCACACAATTCTAGGGCTACATCTTTTGTCTCAACATCAGCATCAAAACCCCAGCCCCTGTTCACTACAGCCTATATTGAGAACACATGCCCTGGGCCACCAGGACATTAGCTCATGCACTTAAAGTTCTGGTTTTGAGCTGCCTTTTAAGTTCCAACCGCTGAGGAGTTTCCTCTTTTTCTTTAAAAAAAAAAAAATATATATATATATATATATTGTTTTATTTGATCCAATTGTTTGCAATAGGATCAGACTTATGATATGATAGCTCAGACTTTGTTATAAGAACCAGAAATCTATGTTCTTTTTAAAAAAATAATTCATAAAACAATAAATGTTTATTTTTATTTTTTTTAAGAGTTTTATAAGTAGCCGACTTCCTTAAGTCAAACTTCCGACACACCCTCAAAACAAACATGGTGTAAGACCAGAATTATCTGTTCTTTTGTCCTTTTTTTTTTTTTTGAATTGCAAATATTGGATAGCCTTGTTTGAGGGGAAACATCTCTACTCAAAAGTCAATTCTCACACAGTACCTTTGGCTGCATCAATTGCTGTTACTTTATGCCACATAACACAGCACAGGTGGTCCATGTCACTGACATGTCATATCTGTAAAAATTTCTTGGATGAATGAATGAATAAATGAATGAAAGAACATCCCAGCAAGGGGCAGGCAGCTCTTTGACAATTCACTTGTAATCTTTAAATCCCACAAACACAGAATTTGCCTGTCATCAAAAAGAGTAGAACAGACAGAAGGAAAAACTGTAAACAAGTCAAAATAAAAATAAGTGATGGATTTCCCATTTGTCTTATCACTCACAGAATGTTAGAGCTGGAATGGATCTCAAGGATGACCCAGGGCAATCTCACACCCCAAATGCAAAAACCATGACCCAGAGTGACTAGCCCAAGAGCCATCACTAAAGCCCAGAACCCCATGCTTTTCACTATGGCAGCTTGCCCAGGATTCCCTCAAACATCCCCCACCATTACAAAGCAGGAATGATTTTTATTGGGGAGCCGTCCCTGTGCTTGGTCCACAGGAAGACAGACTACTCAGCTGTCTAGAAAATATTTCACAAGCTACTTAGAAACAAATGGGCATCCCCAGGCAATATTCTTGGCAGCAAAGCAAGTGAAGAAGGCTGAGGTCCCATAGAGTCCATGTAATTTTCATCCTTGGGTCACTTTGAGATGATGACAATAGAATAAATAGATTAAGGGAGAGTATGGCTGATCTAGAAGTACCTGGCACTTCTAGAGATCTAGGGAGCAACAATTCGGAATAATCCTTGTGACTATCTCATTCTGAAGGCAAAAGAGCATACAAGTTAAATCTTAAGCAGTTCAGTGTTCAGGAAGGTATTTCTACCTCCTCTCCTCCTGCTGGGAACAACTGGGATGAGAAGCCCTGTCCCCTGCCTCCACCCTCTTATAGCTCCCTGCCATGGGAGGAGTCACTTATCCCACTGGTCAGAGCCCAAGACATGCAGTGAGCTGTGCTCCCTGGTGGGTGGCATCACTGTGCCTTGTGACTCAGAAGCCTTTCTCTGGAACTTCAAGCTTCTATATTTTTCAGGCTTCCCATAGGAAGGCCCAGTTAAGTCCCATCTCTCAGTTCCATCTTCCCCACCTGCAACTGGGTGGGTAAGCCAGGCAGGGTCTGCTCTACAGGGCAGTCAGATTGGGAAATAATGTACCAGAAGCTTCACTTAGGTCTCCTCTAAGGGGTGCTTAATTTAAAGCTAAGTGGTGCTACCCAACTCAGGTTTTCAGAGCCCCTATAAATGGTTGGGAAGGTATGGTGTGAGTATTTGGGTACTTGTTCAGTACCCAAATCAGTACCTTGTCCATTTTCGCTAGGCTGGCAACCCTACAGAGGAAGAATAAGAAAGAAGATTCAAAGCTCCAACCAAACCCCAACTCTTCCTATCCACAAAAGCAGAGCCTTACAAATAGTGTGCCAAGATATCAAACCCTCTTAGCCTTTGGATGACCAGGGAACATGTGGGAAAGCTAAAGCCTATAGGCCAGTTGCCTCTGGCCACGAGCATCCTGTTTATCCCAGTGTGTGATGCAAATTCTATGTGTACTATGGTAAGTGGGAAGTCCTGAAAAAAAGCACATCCAGCCTACCATCTCCTTCTTTAATCTCTAAAACATATGACTTCTCCCTCCCCAAGCCCCTACCTACCAAGCCCCCACCAGAGAAGTCAATGCAAACTACGAAATTCTTATTCTCATCAAGAGTTGAGCTGATGCAGTTGATGGTGACCACTGGAGGCACCTTCCTATAGACTGAACCTTTTCCACCTAAGGAGGACATTTTCCCAGGGGTACCGTTTGGGAGGCAGGAGGTCTCAAAGCCCCAAAGCATATCTTCCCAGAGCATCAAGTTGGAAAATCTAAGAAGAGCTACCCGAGAGGGTCTGGGATTTTTCTTAGTTTAGTTGGGCTATCAGAAAGGCTGCTTTCTTGAGCCACATGGTCACAGTAGCCCTGCCCCTGTAGAAATGCACTGATTAGCCTGTGGGCATCACACTTATCCATAAGACAAGCTCTATACAACCTTCTGCAGGGCCTCTAAATGTGCTACTGAGGACCGTGATCATTGCCTCACTGGTCTACCCACTGAAAGCCCATGTGAAAATTTCCTTCCACTCTAAATGTCAGAAAAACAAAACAAAACAAACAAACAAAAAAAACCATGGCTTCCACTGAGGAATTGGACTCTTCTCCACTGGCGGACAACGAGAAGAACACAACTGATTGCATTTCCCATTTTGCTTTGATCATCAGGAAGCTCAGAATCAAATTCAAGCTAATTCTAGGAACTATGGGGGCCTGGCTGGAGATTTGGGGGGTTGGTGGAGGGAAGTGGGAGGAGGTGGGGGAGCAGAAGGGAAAGGAGAGAAGTCGTGCATGATGGGGCTACATTTCCTGGGCAATACTACAGACTGGAGAGAAGCCAGCCCCAGGCAACCATCTTCAGGGGTACAGCAATGTCGCTTATACCCTAGCAACAGCCTCCTGGTCCCCCAGCCCTCCAAGTCTCCTCACAGCTGCAAGAATAATCTTCCACTCTGTATTGGATTGGATCCTGATACTCCCTGGTCTAAAATCTCACAGAGGCCTCTCTTTGCTCTCAAGATAATACAATCCAAGGCCCTGGCCCCGGTACACAAGTCCTCTTGCATGCGGGGGGACTTACACGTCCCCTCCCACCTCACTAACACTACATACCACTTTCTGCCACTGTGCTGACCAGCCTACCCCTCCCCCATGGGACCTGGCCCTGAACTCCTGGGCAGAGGAGGCCAGATACTGTCTGGAGGCAGCAAGGCTGACAGCAGCCACCAGTATCCTGGCCCTGGCATCTTCACCAGAACCCCAGCCCTGCTCCATGCACTAGAGAAGCTGGAATCATCCAATGGCCTCCCAAGACCCTGCAGCCCCCACCCCTTTGCTGCTCAGGGCCATGGCTCCTGCGATGCAGACTGACCCTCTCTGTCCACCCTAGTGAGAATTCCTGGGGGGAACTGCCCTCCAGTGCCTCTCCTGGTGCTTCAGTGTAAAAGGTCTTCTCTACCCCTTCCCCTCTTCCCACCAAACCCTTCTCATTCTTCTTATCTTAGAATCATTCTTTCAGGTTGGAAAGGTGTTGGCATTTAGATAATTAAGCCCTCTGGATTCTTAAACTTCTAAAACCACATATATGAAAATGGATAGATTCTACTTGCATGCCTCCAGCAACGGGAAGCTCACTACTTAACAAGGAGGCCCATTCCACTGTCAGAAAGCTTGGGCTATTACTGAGTTCTTTTAGCCTATCTTCTTCCTTGCTCACAACCTCAAGCCTTCTCTTCATCAGACCAAATGGCCCAAATTTCTCCAGTCATGCTTCCTATGTAAGAATTTTCAGTTGGCTCTTCTGCACAAACTACTTTGTCTGCAAAGAAGGAGCTTGGCCCTGAGCACAGCCCTGTGAGGAGAGAGGCAGGGTGAGAGGAACAGAACCAGCTCAGAGGAGAATGGAACAGTCACCACCCTAGACTTCTGTTTATGCTTCCTGAGACCACACTGGTTCACGTGGCAGGGCTGGCACCTCCTAACTCATGCTCAGCTCCTTGCATGAGAAAATTGAACCCCCAGGTTGCATCTCCAGGAAACTATCCATCTCTAAGAGTCAGTGGGTAGCCTGTGCTGCAACTGGGGGTATCCCAGTGGCTGGGGTTCTGGAGCCAAGGACCTGGCTTATGATCTTGGCCCCACATTTACTGTGTGCCCTTAGCTAAGTCACCGTACTCATCTCACCAAACCTCAGCTGTTCTGTCTGCACAATGGGGATGATAGGAGTTGTGACTTGGTAATGAGGTGGGGTAAGTGACGGTCTTCTCAGAACAGAGCCAGGCACACTGTAAGCAATGAGTACACAGTAGCTACAGCAATTACTACAGCAATCAATAAAACCCAATGCATTTATGAGCTCAGATAAGAGACAAGTTGGTGCAGGCCAAATTGGTGCAGGGTCAGTGAAGGCCTAACAGGCCAGGCAGGACTCCTCCAGGGCCTGGACAGGGTAGGTTTTAGAAACAGGCTGAAAGAATGTTCCAGGCAGGGAAACAGTGAGCAGCAGCTTAGAGTGTGAGCCACAAAATTAAGAAAGTAATAACTGTAGTACCTGTCACCAAACGTGGTCAGAGCCTCACCTGGGATTCACACGTTCATGCACATACACACGCACACACAGGCACACGCCAGTCCTGGGAGAGGCAGGGCCATGGGCAGCAGCCCCCTTGGACACAGAAGCAGCCCAGCCTGTGTGGGCAGTGAAGGGTCAGGCCTGGCCACAGCCCAAGCGTCTCGTGAGCAAGCAGAGGGACATGGGGATGGTGAAGGGGTGTGATGGGGATGAAGGTCTGGGGTTGGGGTTTCAAGTGGTGGGAAACCATGAGGGACTTTTATGGGAGGCGGTCTTCAAGAAGAAGGAGATCCAATGGTAGTCGCAGAAACAGGACGAGGCAAGAGGTCCCAGTGAAGGTTTCTTCCAAGGTGAGCAGAATAATCCAGGCCACAGATCCCAGGCTCTGGGACACACTGCCCTCAAAGCAGTCACACCTCACCTCTGTGTTCCAGCCCTCTGCGGTTGGGGTGCCCTCCTGTTCCTCCACCCCACTGTACCTGACTTCCTTTCACTGCCCCCCATTTCAACCATCCAGGCCTCTCTGCAGCTCTCTGCCCACACCTGCGTTCCTCCCTTTGCACAGTCCTTTGCCTGTGCTGCTCCTTCGGCCTAGAATGCCTTCTCCAGCCAGCCATCTGCTATCGCCACAGGGCCGCATTCTGCCCTTCCCTCAAGGTACCTCCTCCAGGAAGCCTTCCCCTTTCTCAGCCTGGCCCACCTGTCTCCCCACCCCCTCCTCACCTTCTCCCCTCCTCATGGTGGGACATAGATCCACAATGAAGGAAAATGAGTTCCCTGAAGAAAAAAAGCACGTCCTCTTTCTCCCCAGGGTACCTAGCTGTTTTTCTGCCTCATGGTCGAGGTTCAGGCCACCCCTGATGACCAAGCTCAATCATGCTCAGAAGCACAAACCAGCCCCTTCCCAGGAACAGGATGCCCACAGGAGAAGGCAATGCTAGAATCCTGTTCGGCCTACCAGCCTGGAGAAGTGCCACCACTGAGAGGGCAAAGCAGCTGATGACAGCAGGAGGCATTTCTGGTGGCTATCTCTGTTAGACAAGGGACAGACCTTCTCCTGGTTTAACCCCCTGTGACCTTTGAACTTCCTGGGAGGTCAGCAGCACATCCCCTTCCCCAGCTGTCTCTCTGTCTCTGGCCCAATGGGAGGGAGGGCCCTGGCCCGTTCCATTTTGCACCCGTATTGATCTGTTGGCAGCAATGGGCTGGATAATTAGCCAGGAATTAGGGTTTCTATTACAGCCAGGAGGCTGCTCCAGCTGATTTATCACCTGAATAATTTACTGTGATTGAAAGGAAATTAAAATGAACTCCATTTGACAACTGTGAGCTTTTATGGGCTTTAGTGAAGGCTCAAAAGCCAGATTAATAGCCTGGTGTTGGTTAATAGTCTGCCGAGAGTAAATACGGCAGGCTGTGCTCCACGGCCTTCCTGTGGCGGCCGGAGGAGGGACCCGCTGCCACCAGGAGCGCTGCGCCGACGACAACGTCAATGGGAGTTTTACTGAAACAGATTCCACTGCTGGAAACATACACACACACGCACGCACATACACGCGTGCGCACACACACACTCACCACCAGCAGCTTTATTTTCTTCTCTTCCTCCAACATGATTTTTACTCACTCCACGTGTAGGGAAAAGAGAATTGCTTTTTCAAAAACCATTTTGAAAAGGAAGTGTTTCACTGTTCCAGGAGTGGTCAACGTTAACCCTTTCCACCCACGGCAAAGGGTTTACTACGTTTCCCTATAAAAGCCAGCAGCCTGGGCCCATCCACCCAGGTAGATCCTGGCGGGAAAAACTGCAAGGTGGGGCAGGCTCCGAGCTAACAGCAGTAACTGTCAGGACCCCTGCCTGGCCCCAATGAGGAATGTTCTTCCCATGGGGGACAGGGTGGGAGGATCTGGGAGGATGTGGCCTCTCCAAACCTATGGCAAGTTCTGAGAGTTCTGGAATGACAGGCAGACTCTGACTGCAATAGGCCAGGTCTGGAAATCAACCAGCCAGAAAACTGGCCCCTGGAATCATCCTAGACCTGGAGGCCCATGGAACCATCTTGCATGAGATGAAGACAGAAGACCCTGAGATGAGATTCCAGCTCTGCAGTTCAACAATCTCAGAAACTCCCTGAGTAAACAATCTGTGAAAAAAAATGTTCCAATCTGTATAATGGGGCTCCCAAATCGTGCCCAGCCTGTTTGGCAGGCATTTGCCTTGGGGGTCCAATGAGAGGATGGATGTGAACTGAACGCTATGGTGTATAGGTGAGGAGGATCGCTGTTGTCATGTTCGGCTTCAGTTGTTGCTGCTGTTCTTCTTGTTGTCGTCATCAAAATCATGATTACTCCTACCACAGATACGGAAACTGAGGTCCAGAAAAACAGTGACTTGCTCAGCAGGGCAGAACCAGGACTCAAACCAAGCTTCCCGACCCCAAGGCCAGTAAGTGCTCTTTCTTCCCCACCAAGCTGCTCAACGAAAGTGACAGCAAGGCCCCCATCCAGGGCACTAGGCCACAGAGACACAAACTGAGACAGCTCGATCTGCTCGAAAATGGAAGAGAAAGCCAGCCTCCGCAGCCAGCACCTCAGGCCCCCTTCCTGTCACCACCGCCATGCCACTCTGGGGCTCACAGGCAAGGCCTGTGGAACATTCACCTCTCAGAGAGCTAGCATGAGGGGCCCAAGGAACCTGTACCCTTGACGCACATCCCTTCCCAGCCTGCGGCCCCTTGCTCGGGCGTCGTTTGTCCTAAGTGATTGGGAATCGGGCGCGAGGGTATGTCATTCATAGTCCAGTGCCTGTGTGTGTGTGCAGGGCAGCCCCGCCGCCTCACCTTCCATCTCTCCTCATTAAGACACATTACAGGGAGGTGAAGCAGATTAACCAGAAAACACTGGGTCAGTCAGTCATTATCCCGCCACACAGTTCACCTGCAGTCACCGCCTCAGAGCGCACAGTCAGAGACAGGCCTGCAGGCGTGCCCGCTCATTCTGAAGGACACTGGAGATGCTGAGTACTCACAGAGTTTGTAATCAGGTCTCCTCCCTATCAGACCCCATCTCTCCATGAGCCCAAGGGACTTGTCCTTCAAGCCCCCCATCCAACACTGGCCCCTCAGTGCCATTGTCCATAATGCTCCCAACCCAGGTAACGTCCCCCTCTCTGGCTGACACCTCATCAGGACCCTCTGAACAGTCTCTCTTGTCCTGTGGGCTCTGAGTCCACAGCACACTGCCCTTGTGAGACTGGGCAGAGCTGATGAGCACCTGGCACTGTGCCTGGCTCTCAGCCCACGATCAGGGAAGAAGTTAGAGGAGTGGCATGTGAGCAGGTGAGTGAGTGAATCAATGGGCGGCTTCCAGACCACTCAGGGATGAGGCCCTGCAGGCTGCATGGCCTTCCTGGGCACTCTGAGCTAAAGGAGCTATGGTGCAGATGCTGAGTCTCCATGACAGTCATGTGAAACACAGAGGGAGTCTCGCACCGAGTGTCTGCGTTAATTAGGGGTTCTTAGAAACATTTGTGCTGCAGAAGCCAGGTGGAGTGCAGAGGCCTGGATCCCCTCACTTCCCCACTCACTTGCTGGGTGACCTCAGACATGCCCTGTCCTCTCTCTGGGCCTCTAAAAAAACAAGAGGATTGAAATCTTGCCTCTGTGGTTCCTGTTACCCCTAAAATTACATGATCTTGTCAGCCATTAGAAGATAAACTTTCTGGCCGGGCGCGATGGCTCACGCCTATAATCCCAGCACTTCGGGAGGCCAAGGCGGGTGAATCACGAGGTCAGGAGATCGAGCCCATCCTGGCTAACATGGTGAAACCCCACCTCTACTAAAAAATACAAAAAAACTAGCCAGGCATTTGTGGCGGGCACCTGTTGTCCCAGCTACTCAGGAGGCTGAGGCGGGGGAATGGTGTGAACCTGGGAGGCGGAGCTTACAGTGAGCAGAGATTGCGTCACTGCACTCCTGCCTGGGTGACAGAGTGAGGCTCCATCTCAAAAAAAAAAAAAAAAAAAAAGATAAACTTTCTGGCTGGGCGCAATGGCTCACGCCTATAATCCCAGCACTTTGGGAGGCCAAAGCAGGTGGATCACCTGAGGTCCGGAGTTCAAGACCAGCCTGGCCAACATGGTGAAACCCCGTCTCTACTAAAAACACAAAAAAATTAGCTGGGCGCGGTGGCAGGCACCTGTAATCCCAGCTACTCAGGAGGCTGAGGCAGGAGAATCACTTGAACCCAGAAGGTGGAGGTTGTGGTGAGCTGGGATGGCACCACTGCACTCCAGCCTGGGCAACAACAGCGAAACTCCATCTCAAAAAATAAAAGAAGAAGATAAACTTTCTTCCACATTCTGGAGGGAAGGACAGGCCTCATCCAGGAAGGTTCCCTGATCAAGTCCCCTCTCACTCTCTTCCCGTGTCGGAGAAAACGTGCCTTCTGCCCTCTCCCAGAAGGGCTCTGAGCAGAGCTGGGAGGGTGCTTGCGATGGAAACAGATTCTCCTCCCTGAAGCCCAGGATCTAGAGTGTGTGGGGGCGGCTATGCCCAGCACCATAACCGTGTCCTACCCAGCAGAGGCATCACTCAACTTGTAGGAGAAAGACTACCATCCTCATCCCAGTCTACAAGACCAGGCCCACCTCCCCAGCACCACCCCCAGCCCGTCCCTGAGCCACAGCCACGCCCGCTCTCTCCGTTCCTCATCCTGCTGCCTCCCTCTCAACTCAGGGCCTTCGCACTTGCTGTCCCCTCTGCCAGGCACTTCCCTCCACCCCCACACCCCTTCTCCTTGCTCCCAAACCCTTCAGGCTCAGCATAAATACCTTTCTCCCAGGAGGCCACTGTGGCTCAGCCTTTCCTTTAGGAAAAGGAAACATTTTCCTTTAGGAAAAGGTTCTCTTCAGAGAACCTCAGACACCTCCTCCTCAGCACCAAGCACACCTGTAACCCATGACCCTTCAGGAAATTCTTTTATTGGGATTCTTCTGCAAGTCTGTAAGCTCCCTGAGGGGAGGTCCAAGCCCATCTTGTTCACTGATGTGACCCGGTGCATGGCTCCATGGCTTGTACAAAGTAGACACTCATCGTATTTGTTATGTGAATGCATGTCTTGCAGGATGGCCTTAGGTAAGTTGCTCTGCTTCTCTGGACCTTGGTTTAACCCTCTGAAAACAAAGTGGCTAGAAGGTCTGCAAGAGCTCTCACAGAAACTGCTCGGACACAGACAGACTGTCATAGACAGGTGGCCCCAGAGGCCCTGCTCTTCCCTCACCACCCACGGTTCTCTCCAGCATGTCGCCTCTCCATGGGAGCTGTGCAGGGAGCCTACACTATTTGGAATGACTTTTTGGAGAAAATTCAGAAGCATCCTCTAATTAGCATTTAGTGGAAGCTCAGTGCCGCCAGTTCTCACCACTAGTACCAGCGAGGAAAGTGCTGGGGAAAGTTATTGTCTGTGGGGTCTCTCTGGTTGGCCCACCAGGTGGGAGCTCTTGGCAGTCCAGAGCCATGTCTAGCCTGCAAGGTTACCTGTCAAGCCCCTGGCACACACTGGGTGTCAGGAAATAGTCTTATGAATTGAATCTGGTACTCCAGGGACGTTAGTTAGGCCTCAGGAGCCTCTCACTGGGCCGAGCCTCGTGATCCCATCTCTATAGTCACAGGTAGTGACTACTCCGCCCAGGGTATAGCAGACAGCCAGTCAGCCAGGGCTGGCCCTCCTGCTTTCTCCCTCTCTTGCAAATAACCCAGGTGGGAGTTTGTGCAATGAGACATTTCTTTATCTCCAGACTCTTGGATTCAGTTACTGAAAGTATGACAGGGTGACCTGGTGAGAGGGCAGACAGTGGGATACCTGCCTGCTCCGTCATTCCATTGTTCACGGCCAGTGAGCCCCCAGGCCATGTGCTGGTTACATATTTCCACCATCACCCTGACTGACAAGATAATGACCCAAGACCACCTTAAGTGTCCCGGAAGATCATCACACCCTTCTATCCAGAGAGTCCTTGGAAAGGACACAAGAGCAGCCAGAGAAGTCACCCACCCCCCGGCTGGCCAGCGACTGGAGCCCCAGACAAGCCCTCCCAGCCTCGTGGGATGTAGTGACTGCCCAAGTTTGGCCAAGAACACTGAAGAGACCTCTCTGAGAAGAACCTGGTGTGCCCTCACCCACACCCCCCTGCCAGATGACTCTGCCTTCAGGAAAGTGGCTGGGCCGGTGTGGCAGTGGTAGGTGTGGCGGGCATGCATCACGGGGCATACCTGTTCAGGCTTGATGGGCTCTGTGGTGGTAAAGATGTCTGAGTAGTGCTGCCTCTCAAACACGCGGTCCAGCACCTCCAGCTGCTGCTGTGTGAACAAGTCTCCCCGCATCTGCTTCCGGAGGAAATCTCTGCCTGGAAGTGAGTGGCCGTTCGGCACCGGAGACTCCTGAATACCTTTGATGAGCAGGAGAGAGGAAGGGTGAATGGAGGTTATACACGTTGCTAAAGAAAGACAGGTCAGACCCTGAGACTACAAAGAGGACCTAACCCCAACTCCCTCCCTGACCAGAGAAGACACCGGCAGGGGCTCAGGTAAGGTACCGCCTTGCCCAAGGTCACCTGCTTGGTAAGTGCAGGGCCAGCCTCCCACAGCCACGTGCAGGGACTGTGCAAAGTCCTTTTGACATGCATCATCTCATCTAATCCTCGTGAGGACCCTCAAAGTAGGTTATTCTCCCCACTTTGCAGATGAGAAGATTGAGACCTAGAGAGATTTATTGGTTTGCCTGAGAATTCGAGCTTGGGTTGATCCGCAGGCCTAGTTATCAGGTGCTCCTGCCCCTCCTGTCCTAAAGACACTCCTGGGAGGTACAGTTTTTCCCAGAGTTGAGGTCCTTACCCTGGACATTTGCTACCACATCATGTGATCGGTCAGTGAAACACTGTGCTAGGAAGACTGTAGGAAAACAGGACTCTCATACAATTCTGGTGGAAGTGGTAACAACACCTGTGCTAGACAAGTCGACAAATCTGTCAAAACCATAAATGCACTTTCCCTTCAATATAGCGATTGCACTTCTGGGAATTTATTTTACAGCTCAACTTACACATGTGAGAAGTGATGTATGTACAAGGTTCTTGTAGCAAAGGCTGGAAACAACCCGAGAGTTTATTTGGGGGCGGGGGCTGGTTAACGCAGCCAGGCATACTTGCATAATGGAAAACTGTGCAGCCGCAGAAAGGAATGAGGCTTCCTTCTGTGAATTGATATGAAAAGATCTTCAAGATACATTGTTATGTTAAAAAATAAAAAACAAGGTACAGCACAGCATGTATAATGTACAACCTTTTGTGTAAAAAGGAAGAAAATAAGACTATGTGCAATATGGATCTCTCCAAAGGATATATGAGACATTTACAGTGGTTGCTCATTCAGGGAGGTAGGAAGTGAGTGAGTGGAGGTGACGGGGGGAGACTTTTCACGGCATGTTTTTCTTTGGTTTGGTTTGGCTTCAGAAGTTTAAATGTACTGCCTATTACAAAATGTAAATTAAGTAAGTATAAGATTAAATTCCCTCTGTGTTCTGTATTGTTAGCTATTCACACTGTAACAGTCTCTGGTGATGATGCTTACATGTCAAAAGAAATATTATGAATTATCAATAAAGAAACAAATGCGATGAAATATCTTCTGTTGAGTCTCAAGCTGGAACTGTTCAAAATAAAATCAAGCACAGAGGGCAAATGTTTCCAGTGAGCAAATGGCCTCAGAGGGTACATCATTCCCCAGGGCTCTCTGGGACCACATTGCTCACACAAGGCTGACCAGAGGCTTTTTGAAACCCAGGCCCAGAGGTGAGGCATCTGGGACATCTTCCTGCAGTCAGGAAGCCCTGGGGAAAACCAGCATGGGTCTGCTCTCATGCTAAAAGGTGCCCTTACTCAAGGCCTTGTCTGACCCCCGCCCCCACCAGCACACTCCTGCCCTAGACTGGACTTCATCCGTCATGGCCAGCTCCCATTCATGTGAGGAATGAGGCCAGACTAAGGAGCATGAAGCAGTGGGATGTGGTATCACCAAGACTCAGCCAAAAGTCAGTGCTTCCTCAACTGTACTTATCTGGAGACAACTGCAATGCAGGGCTGACATCTGAACAAAGATAGCAGCTTTGTGTTTTGGCCTTTCAGATCCCCTGTAGAAGCCAACAGGCTCAGAGGACCCAGCATCCTCTATAGGAAGGGCCTTCAGAGGCAGCTCACGAGCCCTCTGAGAAAATGGATTCCCCACTAATTTTGACCCAAGAGGATACTGTAGGCTGGGCCACAGCCTGAGTCACCAGATGCTCCCACATGTGGGCCAAGGCAGAAGTTGGTCTCTCTGACCAACGTTCCCCAGCCTGAAGCCTAGGCCCCTCCTCTAGCAGCCCGTGACCCTGGCCTTCCACAAGGCAGGTGCCTACTCCTGCCCAGAGGACATCATCCTCAGAGACCCTTCTCCCGTCATGGCCCATCCCCACAGGGACCATTCCCACAAGGTCACCAAGACTAGCAGGTACGGGAGCTCATGGCCCAGTCTGTCTGCCCTGCAGTGTTCTTCCATTGGTCAGCACCCACCAAATGATCCTTTTCTCAAAGGTTCTCTGCACACACACGCACAGGCACATGCACACCAGGAAAGACGGCTCAGTTTTTCCTACTCAGCTGTGGCTCTGCCCAGTCATCCTGGTCCCAGTCACTCCTGCGAAAGCATGATGTTGGCCTTGGTCCCCAGTGCACCCCCAAGTTCCTCCCTGTCAGAAGGGGCACATCACTTTCAAAAAGCTTCTCCCTCCACCAGCTTTGGTTATACTTCCCAGCCCCAACCCTGCCAGCCAGGCCCAAAACTCTTAGTGAAGCCTCCTTCCTGTCAGCCATCTCCTAACGACTCCTGCCGAGGCCTGGCTCTGTCCCCAGCAGGGCAGTGCCCAGCTTCTCCGGCCCACTCAGGCTGCTCCATCACACCCCCTCAACTCTGCCCCTCTAGGGGGCCTCTCCCAGCCAGCCAGGCCATCCTCCCAGAGACATCCTCAGGCTTGATCCCTTTCCCACGGGACTCATGGGCCAGGCTCTTTCCACAGCTCAGAGCCCAAAGCTCAGAGGGAATGGATCCACTGAGGGCCCCTGCGGGCAAGGTCACTGTCTGGTCACCCAGTAGAGCCCAGTACAGAGTAAAGGCTCAGGGCACACAGGCCCTCAAGTGTACACACAGCGGGTGTTAGGAGACCCTCCCCTGAGGACACCACACAGCCTCTGAGCACAGGCAGCCTTGCTGGACCCGCGCCCCTCTCTGCAGAGTCTCCCCAGAAGCGAACTGGCTGCATCCTGCTCTGTTTCTTTGAGAGTCAGCCACAGCCCCTGTCAACTGAGCCTGTAAGGATATCCAGGCTGCCAGGCACAGTGGCTCATGCCTGTCATTCCAGCACCTGGGAGGCTGAGGCAGGTAGACTTTCCTGGAAGGGCTGTGAGCTGGGCAGAGCCCACCTCTCTGGGCACTCACCCTGTCCCACAATTGCCCTCACCACTCTCGCCCCACCAGCACCTCGCTTGCTTCCTTTACTAGGGAAATAAAGGCAATAGTGTCTGTCATTTCCTTAAGAAGGCTTCGGACACTCCAAAACACATAGTCAGTTATTTATTGGTTTAACGAATATTGATAAAATATTTACTCTGTATCAGGTAATATTTTTTAAGTAAATACATTTTAAAAATAAACAAAAACAGGGGATACAGGGATGACCAAGACAAACCTCTCTCTCTACAATCTAGAGAGGGCAGCCCACTTTAGTCAAGTAATCACACGAATAAACATAGGATTACAAACAACTGTGACTGATGCTAGGGTGAAAAGAGAGCATAAAAATATATCTATGTGACCATGTGTAATGGGGAGGGGAGTGGCCTCCTGTGAGAGGGGTCAGGGAAGTCTCCAAGACGAATTGCATGGAACAGTGAGGAGTGACCAGGGAAAGGGGGTGGGGCAGAGAGGGTGCCAGACCCGGGGAGACAAAGGGCCGGTACAAAGGCCCTGAGAGAAGGGGGTGAAAGGAACAGAGGGAGAGAGGGAAGAGGCCCCAGGAGAATCTGGAGAGGCTGGGAGGGATGGAGCCAGACAACCCCAGAGGGCAGAGAGAGGATCTGAGCCTTGCTGCAGGAGTCTTGAGGAGCTACTGGAAGTGCTGAGGAAGCATGTGCCCTCCACATTTCTCAGTCCCGGGGCCCAAATCGCTCGTTCCTTTAGGTCAGGGCATGCTTTCTAAACTCAGCTCCCAAGCCTCCTCTTTTGGTACTAGGGGCCGGCGGAAGTAGGAGCTTACATTTGTGGGTGTTTAAAGGTGATACGCTGATTGGCCTGTTGAGCCGCAGGTGATCCACTGTGCCCATATGGAATGGAAACCATCTCCCAGGGACACAGGCATTGTTTTTCAGACAGACACAGCCAGAAGGCACACGTGTCTCCTCCTCCAGGATTCCTTCCTTCATGCCCCAGCCGGTCCTCCAACTCCCGTTCTTAGGGCTCTGACCACTTTCTCCCTTACCTTAGAAACCACGTCCCCTGGACCCTTCACTCCCACACTGTGCTATGAGCTACCTTCGGGGGAAAGGTGGGAGGTAATTCATCTCTCTCTCCTCCAAAGCGAATATCTGTGGATTAAATGAACGAATTGGTACCACCTGTGACTAGTGTGACATGCACCATCACTCTGCATGTCTGATCTGAAAATGTCAGGATCCCTCCGTCTGACCTCACTCATTCATCATTCTTCCCTCCATCAAGCTTAGTGAGTGCTAATGCCAGGGACACAGTGATGGGCAAAAGCTGACCCAGCCATCGTCCTCATGGAGTTATGTCCAGAGGAGGTGGCAAACAGTAATTGAAAATAATCGGACCAGTAAAGGTGCAAGTATCAACCAAGGTAAGTACTCTGAAGGAAAAAGCACATGGTCCTAAGAGGTCAGGGACCCTCTGTCCTGCCTCTGGTGTGGCACACAGTGGGTCCTCAGTGAGAATGAACCAACAAACAGATTATATGCTCAGAGACAGCTGCAAAAATGAATACCCCAAATCAGCCCCTGCACAAGGGCAGGTCTGAACCTCCAGGCCTCCGGTGTAAGCTTCCGTAGCATTTCTCATCTGCACCGTGAAGATGCTGTCTGACTTAATTGGAGAATGTGGTCTTGGAGGCAGGCTACAGAAATGCTCAGACCCATTTTATTCCAGGGAGAAAAGTCTGAACTCACAATGTGAATGGTATGCTTAAATATACGGACAGACATGGGCGAAAGTACAAAGGTATACAGGGGGCATGGTATCTTTAAATCTTTTTTTTCTACTCCAAATCAAATAATATGTAATAGACCCAGTGCTGGGCTTAGTCAACCATGGCTCGTAGAATTAACATTCTGGAAGCTAGCTT